TCATAGTATATTGTCGGTGTATCTAACTGATGAAGTTTTTGAACAGCATGTAAATTTTTATCCTCCGTTATATTCTAATTTAATCACCGCTGCATTGGAAGATTCTCTAAGCTACTGGATTGGAAAAGGTCCGGTATCAACATCTTGTTTAAATTTATATATATGATAAAATGATAGATTTTCATGTCATCAATATTTACGAGTTGTAGCATTGACGTGGCATAATGATTAATGGACACGACATTATTTTGAACGTAGGGAACATCAAAGAAACAAATGATAAATAAATAACAGGAACTTGACGTGCGAAAATAACTTTCGTAAATAATTGCTAAGGTATTATGGAGAGGCTTAGTCTTGTTAAAGTAATTATAATCCGTGTTTATTTATTCTAATCCAGATCGGAGGAATAAGAACGGTTTAGTTAATACACGTTTTGAATATTTTACAACAAATTAATTGAAATATAATACCCTGTTAAGCATTTTTATTTTAATAACGAGTTACAATTTAGTATATCGTTTAATAATAGAGTTAATTTTTAAAGAAGCTCAAGGTTGTTCAATGAGCTTGATGAGGGCTATTGTTGGTGTATCTGCGTGATAGACTTAAAATTGAGAATATCTGTAGTAGATCTATAGTTACTAACGTAGCCCAAGGAACTAGTAAGCTGAAGTGGCAATAATAATAATAATTAAATTTATTTAGGCTCTACATGAGCCCTTCGTAGATACAGTCGCCTCCCTCAACTGGCTACGTTTCGGTGACCTCTTCGGAGAAACCGAGGGTTTTGTCTGTGCGATACAGGATCAGATTATTAAGACCAACAACTATCGGAGATACATCCTAAAGGATGGCACCGGCGACGTCTGTCGAGCTTGTCGCCATCCCGGGGAGTCACTTCGGCATGTCATCTCCGGTTGTTCAGCACTTTCTAACTCTGAGTACTTGCACAGGCACAACCTAGTAGCCAGAATTCTACACCAGGAGTACGCTTTGAAATACGGTCTCGTGGACCGAAAAGTGCCGTATTACAAGTACTTGCCGGAAGCCGTGCTCGAAAATGACCGCGTCAGACTCTACTGGGACCGGGCCATCATCACAGACAGGACTATTCTTGCGAATAAGCCTCATATTGTGCTGATGGACCGGGCACAGTCAAGGATATTTTTGGTCAACATTACCATTCCGTATGACGAGAACCTCGTGAAAGCCGAAACAGATAAGTGAACAAAATATCTGGACCTGGCTCACGAGGTGACTAACATGTGGGGTGGTCGGCCCACCGAAATTATTCCTGTAGTCGTCTCTGCGAATGGGCTAATCCCAGTCAGCCTCTTGGGTCATCTGAGGCGACTGGGACTCCGTGACGGACCGCTCCGGGCTCGAATGCAGAAGGCAGTGGTCCTCGATACCGCCCGCATCGTCCGTCGGTTTCTTTCCCTTTCCTCCTAACCCTCGGCCGTTTGGTCTCCTCTGCCGAGGGCTTCCATCTGGTTGGATCTTTATTTATTTGTGTATTTTTTGTATTTATTTTATTTTATTGATATTTATGTATATTTATCTTTTCATTTTAATTTATAATTATATATTTATAGAAACCAACCAGATGAGAAAACTATACAGATACCCCTATAATTAAATTTATTTCAGACCCACATATAGTCCATAATTATGTTAGTAAATTAGCTGAACCTATGTTGGTCTTAAATTATTACACTCACAATTTTCATAACAATTATTTAATATTTTTATTTTTGGCACCCCATGACACCAGGCACATGCAAGTGCATACGCATCCAGTGCCCCAGGATGGGACAATCAAATCTATCAGATGTTTCTCTCAGAATGCTATTGGAGCTCCCACGAATCCTGCGCAAGCGGGATGCTATTCTTTTTCGAATTGTGGCATGAAAACCGTCCGTACCGTATACTGTAAACATCCCTGAAGCGCTACAATACCGCGGTAATCCCAACAGGATCCTGAAGGCATTATTATATTGTACCCGAAGGGCATTGCAGGCTCTCTGCGTATATTTAACCCATAGACTGCACGTGTAAAATGTCTGGCAAAAGGCTTTAAAAAGTGTTACCTTAACTTCTTCTGTACAGCGTGCAAAGCTACGGGACAGCATGTTACAGCGAACCGCCAATACCCTTCTTTCTCTTTCTATGCCCGCATCATCAGTGAGATCCTCAGTTAAAACGTGACCAAGATTGATTGATACACCCTATTTAACTGTATGTTCCTCAACTTAACAGGTGGAATCGTTTCAATTTTTGATCCAGCTCGAAATAACAACACTTCACTTTTTTTTACATTATAAATGAGACCGTGAGTCTCAGCATAAGTATCACAAATATTAAGTAATATCCTCAGTGCGTTAATCGATGGGCTCAGCAACACCATGTCGTCTGCATAGCTTATACTGTTAACGAAATGCCCATCAATAGAGCAGCCGACACCAGCGTTGCTGAGCTCAACGACCAACTGGTTAATATACAGGTTGAAGAGCGCTGGTGAAGTTAGGCCACCCCGTCTCACCCCGTACTCTAACCTGTACTCGTTGGAAAGTGCCTCTGTCCATCTGACCTGATTTATTTGGTGGCCATACCAGTATTTAAATATTTCGATCAACTCGCTTGGTAAGGCCACTTCACGAAGCTTCTTCTACATAATATCATAATTAACTAGGTCAAATGCCTTTGACAGATCCAGGAAGGCAGCGTAAATTGGTGTTTTCCTATTGGTATAGTACCTAACAGTATGCTTGAGTGTTAATATTGCACTCTCAGTGGAGAGATTCTTTTTAAATCCGAACTGAGCATCCACTGAGATGCCGCTCAAGCAGACTATCAAGCACCTTAGCTATGATAGTAGCTAAAGTGATTGGCCTATAGTTCTCATTGTCAAATATATCTCCGGTTTTATTTTTTACTATAGGCACAAAAATAGTTCTCATCAGCTGCTCAGGAAGATAGGAATGTCTTACGCAAAGGGTGTAGAAAGTAGCTAGAAGCCCGGAGAGATGAGGCCCTGCATGCAGAAGATGCTCAATGCTGAGGCCGTCGTGCCCTGGCGATTTACCCCTCTTCATGTTTTTAATTACGTCGAAAACATCATTCGGCGTAAAGCTAACTGGCACGCCCGCCCCCGTCTGGCCGTCCTCAGCATCTGACACTACTCGCGACGAAATGTTCGGTGATATTACCTTAAAATGCTCTTGAAATAAATTTGCTATCTCTCATGGCTTATTCACACCCTCAATACTCACAGGGATGCTCGGCTTAGGATCAACAACTTTAAAATTTTTGGAAAGAAAATCACCTTATTTGTGTGTTTCCAAAATTTTTTAAAGTCTTTGTTTTTTTATGCTTTTCAACTAACATGTCCATTTAAATTTGATATTCATTATTTTGACAAAATTTTAATTTCTGTTTAAATAACTTTTTTGATTCATACATTTCTTTATACAATTTACGAGTACCACCAATAAGTTTGCCATGCCAAACCCAATTTATAAATTTTTGCCTAGCATCCCGGTGAGCATCCTTAACATGTTTATTCCAGCCAACAATACGAACGCCCTTTTTTTGCGCCCGAAGCAAATATGGGCAACCCTCCGGAAAGCGGGAGAGGGAGGTGGGGAATGCTCACAGCATACGACGCAGCCGGCTGCGTGGTTATCTGGAGACTTTTACCCACTAAACCCCACCTTTTAGGGACTGGCTTAACGGTCTAACTAGAGATCTCTAAGCCGTATATGGACGCGACCCTCCTTGGCAGAAAGGAGGGCGCAACGAACGCCCTTCCGACACTTTCCCTTATTATAACTAAATATAGCGGCCTCTGACAATGATGCAACAATTTTATTATACATTATATCTATAGATTTTCTATGGTCAAGCTTATAACACATTCTATTACAGCAAGGAATAGGAGTACATTCATTTAAAATATTAATATCTCTCAAATTTTTTAAACAAAGATCATGGTATGTTGCAATTTGAACTTCATCTCTATGTCCCCAAACTACCTTATTTATGCTTAGCCTATTTTGCGATTCAAATTTAGGTCTGACCATCGACAGGTCACATTGTATCTCCAGTGGGAAGTGATCCGACCAATAAATGTCGTAATATATATCACAGCGACCACCAGATTCCAAGCGGCGCGGCGTTGGTGACAACACAATGATCAAGCCAACGCCTGCTACCGTGCGCCTCACTTATACAACCAATTTTGATCAAAACAAAAGCTAAGTAATTCCTCACCGAAACGTTCTCCCGGATGTGCGTTAGTCCCCTAAGATAAAAACGGATTCTAAATTTTGAATTTCAACAATCGCCGCAATTTCACTCAGTCACTAAATTCTAACAAATTTTCAGAAAAATCCGTTGACATATAAACACTAAATATAAGCAAAGAGCTGTTCCCTATATTCACTTTAATTGCTACGATACGCTCACTATTGCACAAAATAACGGAGACACTCTTTCGCCGTAAAAGAGCAACTCCACCGTACGGTCAACCGTACAGGATTGTATCTATCGCCGACTTACCGAAGAAACCAAAATCCTGATTTATATTGCCGAGACTCGGTATTTCGTGAGAATAAACGAATAAACGAATATCGGCCGTTTTACATAGTGGCTTAACACGTTCTATGACTCTTTTCAATGACTTACAACATCTATCACTAATAAAAAACTTCTTTATTAGTGATCGATGACTTACAATATTTAAAGCTCAAAAACTTGGCAGGCACTCCATTCACCCGGCTGCCCTTTTTTTTCCTCAAACTATATTTTTTTCTTTTATATATTATTCCTTTTTTACCTTTTCCTTTTTTTTGTTTCCATTTTATTTACTCGCTTTTTTGTCGCTCTCACACCTTGGAGCTTTATCATTATATTCCTTTTATAGAAAGTTACAAATCTTCGAAACGACACACCTTGAGGCCATATATTTTCGTCCATAAAAACGGACAACTTATGTTTCATAATAAGGAACTTATAGGCTTCGTATTCCTTTTCTGCCTCATGTTCACTCTCTCTAATGCAACTTCCACGCTTGTTTTGCTCATCATATATTTACTTGTGTCTTCTTCAGAGCCATTTTTATCACCATTATAAATGTAAAATGGAATTTTAACATCCGCCGCCTTGAAACCGCAATCCAACTCTAGATCTGCTTTTCCTTTTTTTCGCCATAAAAGGATTTCGCAACCGTCTTCTTTGCAAAAGAATCCATTCATCCTTTGGTGCTTGGTGACCACCCTCGCGCACCACATCGGAAAACTTTTTACGTCCCGAGCTCATTGTTGTTTCATGTTTTTTATTCGCACTGTTTTCGTTAATCGGCGTAGGCTCGGAGTGCATAGGCGCAGGCGCAGCGGTGTTAGCGCGGTAGCGGTGTTAGGCAATGGGTCGGCTAAATAGCTCGAGACGAGAGCGGTCGACAACCGATCCTACAAAACGTAGGGGATATGTTAGATGACCCCACGATGGAGTAACGATCTGATAAGACATGTAGGAAGTCGGTGGATATTGGTGTCACAGGACCATGCTTTGTGGCATTCATTGGGGGAAGCCTTCAGCAGCCTTCAGCAGACGAACATGTGAAGGTCTGTATTGATAATGAGGATGATGACATTAGGAATTGCCTCCATGTCCTGAAAGTATTTTACAAATTGAATACGGAAGACAAAAAACATTTATTTTTAAGATCGCACAAATAATTACCCCGCACAGGAATGACACCTGAGAAAATATGCTATCAAGGAATTATAAAAATACAAATGTGTTAAATTCTTCTTATTTGAACGCTTAACGTGTATTTACGTGTGTATTATACGTGATAGTGCCATGCTACAGCTATATTGTGGTTGTAACTTGTAACACGAATGGGTCAGCTCGGCCGGGAAAGAACCACGTTCTCATAGAATACTAATGTAAAATAACAGCCTGTTGCTTCTGTCCGTATAGTTTTGAAGAGAACTGGAACCCCTTTTCCCTGAAGATGAGGCATTCCATGTTAGTCCGCACGGGTGACAATACAAGAAAAGTCCGGAGTTAGGAAGTTAGCGGTATTTAACCCTCAGGCGTCGAAAAACTCGTAAAGCCGTTTGTTTTGTTTTGCCCATTGAACAAGAGTGAGGTAATATAGACACATGTGATCACGCACACATTCGTGCACACTCATGCACATAGTTCTTTCTGTGCGGGTGACTAGTGTCTTACACCTGAACCTAATATTTGCTTTTAATCTACCTTTAGCTCTCCAAGATTAATAATTCAATCCATTTTATGGTTAGAAAGTGCCAACAACCAATCCAGGATTTAAAATTACTCTGTGTAAAAGCAAGCTATCTTCGGGAGGTCGGATTACAGAAGAAGATAGACCTCCGTGGGTGAATTAGAGTTTGTGTCTATCAATAACCTACCTGACAATATTGAGGTTTGGTTCGATCGGTGTAAACAATCTAAATTCGCAATCCGAAAAAAGCCTAGGATCAATCCTTTTAGTTCCAGCCTCTTACGTGTTTTGTTTAATTTTATGCCCGCAAAATGGATTTAACTTTACTGTCGAGTGACAGTAACAGTGATTTGGAAATGCTAGTTCAATTATTTGACTAGAGGTATGAAGATAATATCCAACGCCACTCTCCAAAGAGAACCAGAGGAGTGAATTATACGAAGTCTAGATGAGAGTGATTTTACCTTTAGGTTTCATTTAACGAACATGCTTTCAGTTCTTTATTGTTAGAAATAGCCCCGTCGTTACGTAGTACTATTATTTATTCTGTGCCTTTGTTACGAGTAATGTCCACGCAAAACAAATTTTGCCAAATTTAAATAAACTATGAATTTGTTAATAATAATTTTTATACATTTTAGGCCATTTGACAGATGAAGAATACAGAAATCGCAAGGGTTCCTTTTTTTTAAATGTTCAAGGGGTTTGTGATGCAGATTTGAAATTTATAAATGTTGTAGCATGTTGGCCTGGTTCTACGCATGATTCTACCATATTTAATAACTCTATTCTGAGGGTTGAGTGCAAGTAATATGTATTCAACAATATATACTATCAGAACATAATATTCTTTATTTTTATCACAGCTAAATGTGATGTAGGCCAATTTGGAAACCGCTGGTTACTTGGAGATAGTGCCTATCCAAACAGGCTGTATTTATTAACACCTGTTCTCAATCCAGTTTCCGAAGCTGAACATAGGTACAATAAAGCATAATATATTAAAAGTAGAAATACCTCTGAAAATGGGTTAAATAAAACAGTATTATTAGATAAAATTTGATGTGGGAATACTGATATTTAATAAACAACTTTTTTATATTACAGAGCATTTGGAGTATGGAAACGTAAAAAACCGTACCTTTTATATCACTTACACTACTTTTATCAATTCTAAATATACATGCAGTAATAATAGCAATACAGTCCTACATAATGTTTGCAGAAATCATAATCTCACAGAAATCCCCTCTGAAGTGGTACTCTGAAGTGGTGGACAATAGTAGAATGCCTCAAAATGTAGTTGTTCATGATATTCCTACAATACACGGAACTGATTTATTGAATAATTATTTTATGACATTTTAGAGACGCTCACACTCATTAAATTAATATTACAGGTTAAATATTTTATGTAGAATAAGTAGAAAATAAATTGTTAATACTTTATTAAATAATTTGTAAATTTAATTGTAAGAATGAAGCAAATATTCAATAAAATGAATTTCTCTATTAAAATACACATTAAATACACATTACTATAATAGTGAAACATTTGTAAATAGGAACTTAAATTAACCTTCTATTTTTATAGCAAATATTAACATAAATGTAAATAACAATACTTAATCTTTTCAAAATTTTGTTAAATTTGAATAAATTGTAAATTTGCGTTTAATAATGTTTATATATTTTAGGCTATTTAACAGGTGAAGAATTCAGAAATCGCAACTTACTTTTCCTCATACTTAGTTTGAGAATTTGATTGTGAAAATAACACAAATATTTATTAAGAATGATTTTTATCTATTAAAATTACACATCAATGACTATAATACGGAGAAATTAATAAAAAAATAACCTAATTTATAACTATCTTTTACCCTATATATCACATATCCACGTATTTTAGTTTCCATGTAAGTAACTGTGAAGTTGTTACTAATAATGTTTACATATTATAGGCTATTTAACAGAAGAAAATATCAGAAATCATAAGTGTTACTTTTCTTTTAATGTTCAAGTTTGAAAGGACATTGTTAAATCTCGACTAAGTACCAACATAAATTTGACAATTACTAAAATTCTTATCCTTAATTATGCATTAGATAACATTCATTAGATAGTAACGGACACTTCTGAATTATGGAGCATAGATAAATAAATATGTAGCAAGTATGGAGTCAAAATAAAAACGACTTTTTAGATTTTAAGCGTTGTACGTATTTTTTTATTAATTTGCTGCGTCTGGACTCCTGCGATTTGGCCAATCGCACATTACCTCTTACATTTAACAGTATTTCAAAAGTTGTCATAAACTCAAATATATTATGAAAACGTTAATAATTTAAAATATACCTAAGATTAATATATGCCACAAGGAACTGGGATACAGTAAAATCATGTGTATTCAATAAAAATAACAATACTATTGTACTATAATTGGCCAATCAACATTGTGCCACGCAAAAAAAAATGTTATGTTGACAGATGACAAGACGATAAAATAGATAGGCGTCAGACGTGCGATCGGTAATTATGTTGTTGAAGTTTGCATGGAGGTCGAACAGGAGTTGATTACTGATTAGTGAATTACATTTACCACATTCTGAAAATGTATGGCTCTTGAGAGGGAGAATACATAGCCGCCATATTAGTAGTAAAACTTATTTTCGTATACATTTTGGTTGCTGAGTCAGAAATTGGGAGGGAGGCAATAAAAAATATCGTTGTAATTATGTTGTTGGGCCCAGAACTTTAGGCTGCTGCGCCCATGTTATGACCATAATATGATATTTAAGTTGGGCCCGATACCAAGAAAATATCAACCGCCTGCTCAATACTTGAATAATATTTTGCTCGAAAGTAATGATGGTTGATAGTATCATTCGTTACTTTGGTGGCCAAATGAGTGTATAAATTTTATTTAATTGGTATAAATAAAACAAATACCTAATCACAACCTGAGTTTTATTTACCGTATAAGTGCTAGGCTAAGACTGAACTGCTCACATTAGCAATAACATAGTAATATTTCATAAAAATAAAATATAACCTCAAAATATCTACGATAACTGCTAATATCTCTGTTTTCGAAAGTGTCCGTCAAGAGTTATTGTTCTTACATACAATTATGTATAATTTCGGACTTAAAAAGGTATTTTTTGTTACTCTTGGTTCTTAGGCGAACATTGTATGGACGCAGAACAATGTCCTTTATGAGTGTTGTGGCTACTGGCTCGTCGATGTTCTTACCAACTCCATGATGCAACTGTTTTCAATAACTTTAATCTGAGATTTTGTTGCAAATAATATATATTCATATTGTAATCAATTACATATATATTACCAAAGCCTCAGCTGAATGTGATGCAAGCATGCACTGATGTTAAAGGTAGAAAATTGTATATAGAATAAGTTAGATAATAAGTAGTTAACATTTTATTATTAGTTTGTAAATTTAATTGTACTTAATAATAAAAGAAATATTAAATAAAAGTTATTTTCTCTATTAAAAATACCACTAATGACCATATTAGTGAGATATTTAAAAAAAAGGATTTAAATTATAACACCGTCTCTTCCTTTTATAGCACATATCCACATAATATGTATAGTATCCATGTAAGTAACAATACTTACCCTTTTAAAATTTTGTTAAATAATTACTATATAGTAAAAATAATATAAACTTAGAAATGAGGATATCCGCAGTAGAACCAGAGTGACCGACATAGCCCAACGGGATTAGTGAGCTGAAGTGGCAATGGGCCGGCCATACAGCTCGAAGAACCGACAACCGAAGACGAAGTGTAGGGCGACCCCCACTAGATGGAGTGAACCTGTAAGAAGGGTGTGTGAGGTGGAGGTTATTATAAGACATAATATAAGGAAAGTAAACTATAATATCCTACCTTTATACATTTATTATATATATATATATTACGTTTAAGTACTGAAATGTTTTATTTAACTTGTTTATTTACACCAATTTAATCACAGTTACAACATCAAAATGATTTTTTGAAAGTAATT